GGGCTTGCGGGGAGGGGGGGCGGGAGATGAGGCCCGGAGTTTAGAGCCGCTTTGTGCAGGGTGGTGGAGGCTGGGGTGGGAATAGGGGTGGGAGAGGATCAGGCAGTCCTTTCTCTTTCTCTCTAGCTCACTCTCTCTTTTCTAAATGAACTCCAGTTGAATCACTCGTCTTTTGCTCGGTCCTTGTTGATTTTCTTCATTTTCATCCTGCGGTTCTGGAACCAGATCTTGACCTGCCTCTCGGTGAGGTTGAGCAGCCGGGCCACCTCGTACCTGCGGTCCCTGGTGAGGTACATGTTGAACAGAAACTCCTTCTCCAGTTCCAGCGTTTGGTGTTTTGTGTAGGGGCAGCGCTTCTTCCTCGTGGAGCGCGCGTGGAGCCAGTTGGCAGCTGGGTTGCCTGCGAGGGAGACAGACAGGGGATTTAGCAAGAGGAGAAGCACCTACCTCGCCCCTCCACTGGGGCCAGGGAATCTCCTGGGGTCTTCCGCCAAAGTGCAGGGCGCTGTTGAACTGGTTGGGGAAGCGCTGCGAACCGTACACAAAGGCATCCCGGCAGACAGACAGAGGAACAGTCACTTACAATTGCACGCAGGAAAACCTCGGCTTCCCCCTCCCTTCCCAGACCCTCCTTTCTCCTCCTCTGTCCTCCTGTCCTTTTCCTCTCCTTCGTCCTGCCCTTTGCACACCGTGCAAGGAGTGAAATTTGGAAATAGATCCTCTTCTTGCCAGGCAGGGGGAAAGCACGCTGCCCTGTGTTCCTGCAACGTTAATATTCTCTCCCTCTCACTAACACACACACCCTCTCCCTCTCTCTCTCTCTATCCACCCTTCCCCACCTTTCCTTCTACTTTCCCCATTCCGTCTTTGACCTCCCTGGAAGGCCGTGGGAGCCGGGCAGCCGGCAAGGCGCCCCTGAGCAACCGCGGGGCGTAGATCACGTCTCCAGTTTATTTGAATAATCTGGCATGGGGACCACCGTGGCCCGGTCGCCTACAGCCTCATCCTGGGCAGGATTTACGCCATCACTGGCTGAAGGCAAGAAGTGGAGGGGATCGGCTGTCTTCTCCAGGGTCTAGGCTACAGTTGCTGCCGCCGCTCCAGGACAATCTAGCCGCACAAAAGATTCTCTCTGACGAGCTGCTTTCGAAGAACGGCCCAAAGTGCTGTCCTGGAACCGGGCAGCCAGGGAGAGGGGCTGCTGGTCTTGGCTTGGCCGGCAGCGCCCGCCCCGCCCCCTCTCTCTCTCTCGGCAGCAGCCGCCTCCCCTCCCCCCGAACGCGGCAGCCAGCTTGTCACTGTTCTCTGGAATTGGGGCCCCATCTGAGGCATTCTAAACAGCAACTTCTGGTTCCCGGCCCCTGCTCAAGAGGCTCCCAGCGCAGGCGAAGGCAGGCTCGAGAGAAAGCTGAAGGGCTGGCAGATCCTGGTGGCCGGCGTGGAGGCGGCGGCCGGTCTGAAGGGAGTACACACTTACTGGGATCGATGGGGGGCTTGTCTCCGCCGCTCTCATTCTCAGCATTGTTTTCGGAGAAGGCGCCTTCACTGGGCTGTTTTTCTCTATCAACTGGAGGAGAACCACAAGCATAGTCAGTCAGGGACAAAGTGTGAGTGTCAAGCGTGGGACAGTCACCCCTTCTGGCGGACAGTGGTTCAGGTTTAATGCCGTAAGGCCGGCTGGAGGGCAAGCCCGCGAAGGAGAGCGCGCCGGGCGTGGGCTCCAGCCAGGAGCGCATGTACCTGCCGTCCGGGGCCGCCGCCGCCACGGGCGCCTGGGGGTGCACGTAAGGGTGGTGGTGATGGTGGTGATACACTGCGGCGGGCACCGCATTGGCGCCCGCCGCGTGCACCGGGTTCCACGAGGCGCCGAACACCGCCGCCTTGGACTGAAAGCTGCACGGGCTGAAGTCGGGGTGTTCCGCCAGCGCGGTGGCCTGCCGGGGAGGCTGACCCAGGGCCCCGGGCGCGTAGCGGCCCGCGCCCAGCTCGTCCGCAGCGTCGGCGCCCAGCAGGAACGAGTCCACGTAGTAGTTGCCCAGGGCCCCGGTGGTGGCCATCGCTGTGCCCCGTGCCTGGCCGGTCGGCCCGACCCGCGGAAATTATGAAACTGCAGATTTCATGTAACAACTTGGTGGCACCAGGGGGGGAAGTACAGTCACCTAATAAGTTGCCAGCGCCCGCGCCCCCATTGGCCGCGCGCGTCACGTGCCCGCTCCGCAGAACAATAACGCGTAAATCACTCCGCACGCTATTAATGGCCCGGTGTTTTGCAGTCATAATTTTTATAGCAAAAGCCATATGTTTTTATGCAAAGGGATCGCGGCGCTCCACGATCGGGTTTGTTTTAATTGTGGCCAACGAAGATTAAAAGATCAAATCTGGCCTTGCCTCTGTACTCCCTCCCCTCCCACCGCCACCACCAGACGCACACTTCTTAAGCGGACTATTTTATATCACAATTAATCACGCCATCAGCAAGGCGCGGGTCCCGCGTGCAAGTGCGGCCAGTGGAGCCCCTCACATAAAATTAGACAATAATTGAAGCCATAAAAAAGCAGCCAAATCGCATTCTCGCTCTACTGTATTTAAATCTATATTTATGATATTTCATAAGGAGTTATTGTTTCAGAAGCCACACAGGCTGGTGGGAAGTTGGGAACGACCAGCAGATTCGGTTGCTTCGCCATGGCTCCCAGCTGTAAAAATTTACGAGGACTTGGAAAGGTTAAATTACACTGTTGTGTTTGGTTGGCGAGCTCCCTGTAAATAATTCCTGCAGTCCCCAGAGATGCGAGTTTACCCCGGGCCGGCCGCGAAAAGTCAAATTCAACGCAGTATCCATCCCAAACTGAGCCACCACCGCTCCTGCCCGAGCGCGCTGGGCAAGGACAGGCCTCCGAGAGGGCACCGCCTATTGTGGGGCCCGGAAATCTGCCCCATTGGATCCCAGGGCACCCGGGCAGCTAGCTCCCAGCTTCGCCGCTTTGCTAACAGCTAGCGCCCGACCGAGGAGCGGCCGGCTGTCCCTGAGCCAACGGGTTTGAGGGCCAGGTTGTGCGGCGGGTTCGGTCCCGGCCCCGCGCACACGCGGCCCCCGCGCCCTACGGGTCCTCAGCCGGGAATCAGGACACCCAGGCGAACGCAGCAGGCGACCCAACACTGTGCCCCGACCTCAAAGGCCCTCACGCTGAGCTCTGCAAGCTTTGTCGCACTCCCCAAACCCTAGCTGCGAAAAAAAACACGAGGCAGCCTCAGTGGAAGGCGAGATCGGCTTGCGAGACGCAGTTCGGCCAAAGAGACCGCGCGGCTCCGGTAGCTGGGAGGCCCGCACCGGAGCGGCTGGCCTCGGGGCCCTGTATGAGTTCTTCAGGGCTCCTTCCTTCCTTTCTCTCTGGCCCCCGCCCCGGGCCCCGCCTCGGTTTTCACCAGGCCGGACGGCTCAACAGGGTTACAAGGCCCAAAGCTAGGCGACAGCAGCTCAAGTCCAGGGCTAGAAATTAAAACGGGGAGGGGCACGGGGCATTGACTTTAATCCCATTCCTTGGCTTGGCCACATTGAGGAGGGTATTTCTCACCCCTGAAGAGTCTTTCAGGGTTAAATTAAGAGGCCTCGCGGCCTCTGTTAGTTGGAAGAAAAAACCCACCCCAGATCCGAACGGAAAGCAGCGACTCCTAAAAACGGGGTAATTAAATTCACGTGTGAACACTGTGCCTGCAAGAGTGTGTTTCTCATTAGCCCACTTCCCTGGCGGCGCGGGCAGGCGGCGAGGGCGCTTCCATCTCCTTTTCTGCCTCCATCCTCCCCAACAGTTCCAGTAATCCTCCCCCAAACCCTGATACATCCCTATCCGGGACGGGGACCCTCAAATGCCGGGCTCTCCCCCAGATCGAGGCTGCGAAGCGTAGCGGAGACCAACCGGGTGCCCCGTTATCCGCTCTCGCCGGAAGAGGGAAGTGGCCGACACAGCGAACTCCGATGTGGCTGGTCCCGGTCGCCTTAGCCTCCTCCCCCGTAATATTGTCCTTTTCCTTTAAATTCCTCTACCTTATCCCCACCCCCACCGCATCCCGGTGTGTCCCAAATATTGCGCAGTTCGCGGTGCCTCTGAGATTTTCATTAAGAAATATTAACCCTGGAGGAAACCTCGCTCCTAATTGTAATTGTCTGCCAACAGGCTGGACTTGCCTAGTTGCTTTTCGACTTTTTTGCCCAGAGAAGCCTTGAATTATTATTAGTATTTTTTTAAATAAAAAGTCTGTTTAAATAGCCTTAGCTCCCAAAATAGGACAGTTACCACATAATTAGCAGGCGTGGAGTGTTAAGCAGGCCTTACTGATGCCTAAAAAGGGAGAAAAATCAGAAAAACCTAATATGACCCCTCTTCTGCCCAGAGATTTGGGGAGAAAATATTCAGGCTTTTGAGTCAGCTTTTATTTTGGAAATGAAAGGGACTGCGTGTGTATATTAAAAAATAAATAAATAAATGGATGTAATTACAAACCGCCTCTTTTCGCCTGAGAGTTCTAAAACCTTGGCCTCCAAAACAAATCCAATACTCTGGTCCGGAAAATGGTACAGAGGAGTTGAGAGGAGAGCGGTGTGCTGACCTTTCAGATAACAGGACCGCAGACAGAGCAATGGAAACAGTTCCAGGGCCCACAGCCAGAGCTGGGAAGGGAAACACAGCTGGGTGGGCATGAGTCTGAAGGCCCCTGCATGTGTGTGTGTGTGTGTGTGTGTGTGTGTGTGTGTGTGTGTTTGGGGGCAGGGAGGGGATGAAAGTTGTTTTCAGTTCGGTAGCAAGAATCCTTCGACTGGCTTCCAATGGTGGACTACAACTTGCAACAAGGGCTCAAGTTTGTAATACAACGGTTGTGGAATTTAAGATTCCTTTCCCCTATTATTTGAAACAGACTGGAGCTGGAAGGGTCCCTTTCTCCAGCACCCGCCCGCACAAGGATGCCATTTCTAACAGACTCTGAACCTGATAGAAGCTACAGGCAATCAAGCAACCAATCTTTGCCCTAGCCGGGCTCCCTTACAGTGGTTAAAGCCAGAGTTGGGACCGGCAGGCCCCGGAAAGCGGAGGAAGCTTCCAGGCGCGGTTCCCTGCGTGGCCAGGCTCCACAGAGCCTGGCTGGGCCTCAGCCCAGGTCCCAGCCTCAGGTGCCCCGTGAGGCCAGCGAAGGCCTCCTTGCCCTCGGTGTGGGCACACAGAAACGCCGCGAATGCCCCCTAATCGGATCTCTTAGGCTGTGGTTGCCGACCCACGGAGTAAGAACGCAAGGCCGCCGCCATCCGGTCGTGATCATAACCGAGGCCTTGTCTGTGCAGCGGCACACCAGGCCCTGATCCACAGCCCTCGACAGCTGTCCCACGCGAGCCCTTCCTTGGCAGATTCCGACCACAACTTGAACACGCATCAAAAAATAAGACCCCCGCCCCAGGCTCTCCCCAAGCTAGCCCTGGGTCCCTCCCAGAGGAAGAGATGGGAGGACAGGAAGTGGAGATAGAAAACTGGGCACAGAGAGACCGAAGATGAAAGAAATGAAGGGAAGGAAAGAAAGAAGGAAGAAGTAAAGGGAAAGATAAAGAAGAAGAAAAAAGAGGAAGAAAGGAGGGAAGAAAAGAAGGAAGGAAAGAGTCAAAGGCGACTCCTGGGAGCAGAGGGCGGCTTACAGAGAGAAGGGTAAGTGACAAGGCCAGGATCCCAGCCCCTTTCTGCCCTGTCCCTCCTAGTTTGGCCTGAGTCTCTCTCAGAGGGATCTTTCCTGGTCTCCTACCCTGGATTGGGGCTGGTAGCGTCCCAGCCTTGCAGGAGAATGGCCTGGAGTTGGGGGAGGCCCAGGATGGAAGCGTGCGCCCCTGACCTTGAATGGCTCAGGGCCCAGAATTCCTACCACGCCCCCGGCGTCCGCCAAGGAGCGGCTAACCTGACCATACCTGCTCAGGGCCAGGTGGGGATAGGGATTGAGGCCAACAGCCTGGCAAAGCGCTGGGAAGGAGGCAGGGACGAGGCTCCTGCGTGGGAAAAGCCGAGGTTGCCACCGCAGGCCTGGCACGACCAGGGCCCGGATGCCCCGCCTGGCCCGGCCCCCGCGCGCACAGGTACCTGGAGACGATTTCAACTGAAGTAATGAAGGCAGTGTCGTGCTGTCGAGAGAAAGGTGGATCCCAACAACAGGAAACTACCTAAATCACCGACCAGTTCTGGTGCTGCCCGCGCGGGGCTGCCTCGCCCGCCGCCGCCGCCGCCGCCGCCGCCAAGCGAGAACCCTGCGATCGCGCCCGGCCCGGCCCGGCCCCTTGCCAACCTGCGCCCGCGCTGCCACTGTGTGTCCCGCGCTGCCGCTAAGGCCTCACCGAGGGAGAAGCCACCGGCCCCGGTAAGCTAAACCTGGGAGAGAGGGGGGAGGAAGGTAAAGGAGAGAGAGGAAAATGGAAGGAGAAGGAAAAGCGAGAAGAAAGGAGAGTGAGCAGTGTGCGTGCTGGTTTCCCAAATCTTGCTTCTCAGCGAGCCGGCGCCAAGCGGCGGCAGCCCTGGGCGACTCGAAAGCGCCGGGGACGGCACCGAGCCCAGCTCCCTGTCTTGTCTCGGCCTCCGGCGCTCGCTCCCCACGGCTCGCTCTCCCCCTCTCTCCCTCCCAGCCAGCCAGCCAGCCGGGGCGCGCGCTCCCGCGCCCCCTCCCCCTGCGGTCGCCCCCCCCCACCTCCCGCGAGCAGGAAACGCGTGGCCCCGCGGAGGGCGACCAGGTGGGGGAGGCCGTGCTGGGGGAGGGGGGCTTGCAGCCCGCAGCAGGCTACCTAGCTGCTGCCGCGGATGCTAGGGACGCGCTCTGGGCCCAGCCTGCTCCCCGGATTCCTAGGCCGGGGGTCATCTAAGACCAGGGGACCCACAAAACAACCGGCGTCTGCGAGCCTCCCTGGGGCTCCCGAAAGAAATCCTGTTTGGCTTCCTCTGTCTATGCAGCTCCCCTCTCAACTGAAACCACTGGTCCAGGACAGCTACAATCCAGATATACTAGCGAGTCATAAAACTGAACAAAAGCCGACAAACCTTACGGCACCAGGGCTATAGGGCCCAGACAAATTACGACCGTCTAGGTAATATTTAAATAGATGCCTAAAGTAATTGCAGGGGGCGCGGGCTAGTCCTCCTGTTGTAAAAGTGGTGAACGGGATAAAGTGGAAGGTGAAGATAAGAAGTCAAAAA